TCCCATGTAATGTTTGTGCTATATGTGTAAGGTCGGGGGGGGGGTCCCATTTCACTGCAGGGCAACCTGCATGTGACGAATAAAGCTTTGATTGAAGATCATTCCAGCAGTCAGACAGTCAGACAGCTACTGATTTGATATTTTTCATTTTGTTTACTAGAACGAGAGCCCGCCTCACATCATCGTGAGTTTGTCCGTTTCGAACAAAGCCTGTTTGATCTGTATCTGCTAGTTCTGAAGTTATAAACTCCAACTGTTTAGCTAATAGTGTTGCAAATATCCTGTAGTCAATATTCACGACTGATATGGGTCTGTAGGAACCACGTTCTGTTTTATTCTTACCCGGTTTGGGAATTACTGAAATACCTGCTTGTTTCCAGGATGGGGGTATCTCCCCCTGTAAGCACATGGTTAAAGCAAACCCTCAGCAGAGGGGCTACGAGATCTCTGCTTGTACCACTCTGCCGGGTAGCCGTCCTCACCGGCCATCTTATTTGAAACGGCCTGGTTAATCTCCTCCGCAGTTACTGTTGGTGTTAATCTTTTATTTTGTTCCTATCGATGGTGAATCAAGGAAAGAAATGCATTAACAGAGGGCACATCTGTCGTGGTGGGTTCTGCGTACAGTCGGGTATAATAGGTCACAAAAAATTCTTTATGCTTTTCATGTCATATCTTATCATTTGCTGGGTTTTTAATTCTCTGAATAAATCTGTCAGCCTGCTGTTTCCTCTTGGCTTCTTGGATTTGGGACCATTTTTCATAATAATTCTGCATGAATTTAGTCCTTTTCTCTATTTGGTCATCATATAACCTGTTTAATATCTGTTGTGCTTCTTTCATTTGTGATAAGGTGTCATCATTGTTACTTTTCAATGAGGTCTTTTAGATGTTTCTCTGTTTCCTTTTTTTATATGAGGACCACAAAACTAGATTCCCTCTAAGAACTGCCTTCGCTGCATCCCATAAAATACTGAGGAGAAACATCACCATTGTTATTATAGTCCATGTATTCCTTAAATTCTTCTTTTACAAACCTTTTGAATTTTACATCCTTTAGTAGACCAATATGAAGCGTCCATGAGTGCAGATGGAGTGTCAGGTACACGCCTGCATGGTCCAAAATATCTCTCAGCCCTATATCACAATTTACAATCCTGTGCTTATCAAAGTGTGACATAAAAAATAGTCCAGTCTTGAATACATATGGTGGGAATGTGAAAACCAACCCTTCTTCTTAAGCATCCTTTTAACATATAGAGCTTCTGATTGTGACACTTTAGTTTTACTGGACGTGTCCAGAAATGGATTCAAGTGAATATTCCAATCTCACCACATACGCCTGATGTTTCTGTTGCAATTAATTCAAAAAGGGTCCTGATCAGATCTTTATCAGTCCCTGGCCGTCTGTACACATTAAACATGTAACTTCCTTGTGATCTGTGTACCCTTTAGCCAGCATATAACGCCCCTCCTCATCTCTGATTTGTGAGGAAAGCTGGAAATGTACTTTGACAATAAGGCCACTCCTCTAGAATGTTTTTATATATATATACAGTGGGGCAAAAAAGTATTTAGTCAGCCACCGATTGTGCAAGTTCCCCCACCTAAAATGATGACAGAGGTCAGTAATT